GCCTTTTTAAAAAAATTAGACTTGTTAACTCATTTGTAAATAGATAGATATTTTATTATTGGTAGTTTAGATTAGTAACTGAGATTGTTAGTGGCTGTACCCTCAAAGGGGGTTGAAGTAGCGTAAAATTATTGTCCTCCTGAGAGGGTACGTAAGTCCCAAAACTTTCAAAGTTTAATTTTTGCTTACCCGATTTTTAGACGTAGTATATATGTTCCTTTAAATTTCGGCTAAACTTGTCCTACAATCGCCAGCGGCTGAAGGTATGGTGTAAATCCAACTAGGGTCCATGCAGGTAGCAAAGGCACTGTAAGTCCCCATGGTCCCTAGTATGGTGATCTACCTTCAGTTGCTGGCGATCTATAGCCCAATTTTACATTGTATTGTCCAGAAATAATTTTCTACTTTTAAAGATATATGCTAGCTAGTTTTAACTCAGTCTGTGATAATCTAGTGGTTTTATTGTCCTTCGTTGACAGGGTTTTATATATCATATGTCTGTATTACAAATTTAAAACTAGTTTTAGTCACGATATGGCTGAAATATTGCCGATGTGACTTTAAATCTTAACTCACTCACTCACTACATACTGATTTTGAATCACAGTAACTGTTATGTATCTAATGAAATGGGCATCATCTGTGCATGGTCAAAGGGTCTTGTGTGCATCACAGTGTGACTCAATATTTGTGATCCTTTGGAGAAGCAATAGCGACATGCATGCACACCTGTGTATGTGCGTATGTCAGCGGGTGTGTTTGTGAATGTGTGCAATGTGCAGTCTAATACCAAATCCGAATGTGGATACCTAGTCAGATACAGCACACTCATCCTGACCTGATAAGTCCTTGTTATTAACAGTATTGTCCAAAGCCAAACCCGTGAAGATCCTTATAAGAATTGATCTTCAGTAACCCATGCTTATCGCATGAGATGACTGACGGGGTCGGGTGGTCAGGCTCGCTGAGTTAGTTGACACACGTCATCGTATCCCGATTGCGTAGATCGATGCTCATGCTGTTGATCACTGGATTGTCTGGTCCAGACTCGATTACTTACAGACCGCCGCCATATAGCTGGAATATTGCGTTAAACAGCAAACCAACCAATCAAATGACTATAGTAATTCTGTCATGACAGGACAAGGTGTTCCACTTATTGGGACTAGTTATACATGGGAATTCGGGATACGTGAAAATTATCTGCCCAAATTGTTGCCTGGCATATGCACTAAATCAATGGTCTGTATTTTAAAAACATACAAGCACATGTGCTTTCAAAGGGTAAAACATGTGCTTCAGAATACTTCCAGCCGATCACAATGAGGGACACCACTGGTTACGTGTGTCTAAAGCAACCCCAATATAAATATGACTTCAATATGATAAGCAAATACTTTAAGAGGGGTACCAACTTGCCCTGCTTTCAAAGAGGAAAAGCATCGTAAATTGCGGTTCAAAAGGCCTCTTGGCCGAATTATTAACATGGGAATCGTTTGGTTGACACACGGTTTCGTCTTGATTCTTAGGGAGAGTGAGTTGGGTTTTACGCGGCTTTTAGCAACATTCCAGCAACAACAAGCTTGAGACAGCAGAAATGGACCTTTGGGAAATTGAAACTGGGTCTTCGGCGAGCATACTTTCTGGGTAGCCCTCCGCCCGATCCTTTAAATGCAAAAGAGATGGAACAGGTAGTTTATTATAGAAGTACTGTTTCTTCAGTTATTTTACACTGTTCATTTCGTTTCCAATCCAGCACTGGTATCTACACACACACACAACCTGAATACCGCACAACGCTAATCCCTACTTACACACTGGTATGTATACATACACACAACCTGAATACCGCACAACGCTAATCCCTACTTACACACTGGTACCTATACATACACACAACCTGAATACCGCACAACGCTAATCCCTACTTACACACTGGTACCTATACATACACACAACCTGAATACCGCACAACGTTAATCCCTACTTACACACACTGGTATGTATACATACACACAACCTGAATACCGCACAACGCTAATCCCTACTTACACACTGTTCTATCTACACATACACACAACCTGAATACCGCACAACGCTAATCCCTACTTACACACTGTTCTATCTACACATACACACAACCTGAATACCGCACAACGCTAATCCCTACTTACACACTGGTATCTACACATACACACAACCTGAATACCGCACGACGCTAATCCCTACTTACACACTGTTCTAACTACAGGTGAGAACATGTGTATCAGAGATCTAAGGTACGGCAATTCGCTGTGAAGAGTTGCTTCCCTTAGACGCTCCAGGAACTTGTGATCATGTGATCTAATTCTGTTTTTAGGAATGTCACGATCATATCAGAGCTCAGGGGTTCCACCACAGTGGTAACCCAAAGTCGGGCATCACTTCAAGCTTTAAAATTAAGCATTGCTCTAGCTCAATTTGGATTGTGTCATTTTTGTTCTGTAGATGAACATATTTTAAAAAGAGAACTATTTCTTGGACTAAAAGGTAAGTTTAATGCCTATACTCACAGACAGTTTAAAATGCAGGAAATCCTGAAGTCCTGTCACATGTAACGTGAGTATTTACACATATCCACGGGCGGTGGGGTAGCCTAGTGGTTAAGGCGTTCGCTCGTCACCCCGAAAACCCGGGTTCGATTCCCCACATGGGCACAATGTGTTAAGTCCATTTCTGGTGTCACCCGCCGTGATATTGCTGGAATATTGCTAAAAGCGGCTTAAAACTAAACTCACTCACTCCACATTTCCACAAATATACAAGTCCATAAGACGTCACTAGAATACAAGGCAGACCTACCCACATCTATATGTTCGTGTACTACAACTTGGGTGGTTTTCAGACAAAAAGATACAGTTAAGCCTTCAGAATTACTAAATGAAAAAGGCCAAGGGCTTGCTTCACATAGCAATCTAAGGGCTAGGGCCCTAGATGAAGGTTAGGGCCAAAATATATTTGAACTAACTAACCCAAGGGCTCATATACGAATTTTGATCTTGCATAAGCAAATTAAGGTCTCCAGTTTGACCTGGTCGAGTAGAGGATGTGAGAAAACCCCATATAATATCACAAGGTCATGAACCAGTGATTAAACTATTACAGCAAAGTGCATGATAGGAATTAGCGTGCAATTATCTCTACGTGTAGGCTAGAAATAATTAACACAATGTCAATCGGCAGTGCAGCTTACCCCACCATTGTAGTGCTTGACAATTAATACTGAATACTTGTAATATTACTGGTAATGTTAAAAAACAAAGGCATAATCATAAGTATCAAACTCAATGCTACTATTCCTGAAAGATTCCAAACAGTTGAAAAAACAAATACGTTTCAAATCTACTGTAAAGGGAGGTAGCTACTGAAATCTATATAAAGGGAGGTAACCAGTAAATTCTAAAAATAAAGCGAGGTAATTAATGAGCTGAACACAGAAAACTACAAATTCTATGAGTGAACTTTACCTGAATTATCATGGATAGGAAATATTGGAATGACAGAACACATCTATCTACAGACTTCTACAAGTTGGCTACTTCTCCTATGAGTACATTTGTCCTGGACAAACCTAGACAAGGAATGCTCAGATGAGTTAACTACAATTAGGATCCTGCTCAATCTTTGTCAACAGGTCCTATTATGCTATATAACATACTACCATATAAAACCTAAATCTACAACATACAATGAGTGGATGTGTCTTTGGTCCAAAGTATCAAATATGCTTCGACAAATGTGTCTTATGTAAAACCAAATAAACAAACCTCAATAAAACCTCATTACTGAGTCCAACATCAGAAACTAATCAAAGCCATATGTTTCCCTAATGATAATACATTGTATAATGCTCACAAACTGCTTTGCAGTGTGACCGAGACGTTCAGTATACTTTTAAACAATGGGGTTAAACATACAGTTAATCAAATCCGGAATCCAAAACTGCCTAACCTAAAACCAGAAAACTAATCTGCATAAAGTCACAGTTCTTACACTACCATCCCTCTCAATATGAAGATTCGTAAGCCCCTACATTGGTCATGTCAGTTACTTTTCAACAGCTAGTATGTGAAGAAACTTCTAGATTCTCAGTAGAAGAGATTGAAGCACTGAGACAGCATATCTGATTTCTCTATGTCAAAAACAAGGTTAAGTGTCAAGTTCCAAATGTCAACAAAAAGGCTGCACCATTATACTGATGTGGATGTTTTAAACACTCTGTTATTTCTGAGAGACATGTCATCTATACCCTAAACTTGAAACCACAATGTCTGATTTGAAGTGGAAGAAAAAAATAAACCAAATGATTTTTGAAAAGAAGGCATCAGCTTCGTTCCAGAAAGGGGATGGCCTAAAAGTCATGGATTTATTAGCCAATTATATATTTATCCCGGCTTTTAGGCCATCCCAGGGCATTCTACAGATGGTGACACCTTGGACTGCACCCTTTGTAAAGCGAAAAGATTGTGTTGTGTAAGTTTTGATGATTACTACAGAGAGAGGCCCCTAATGTTTCGCGTGAAAAGTTTTCAGCGTGTGTACCTCTTGAAGCAACACATTCTTTTTCCCTGAATCGATTCAAAACCCCTGCTTGTAATATCGGTTGGCATGCACGTTAACTAAATTTGGCAAGGAGAATAACAATAACAAACGTTTTCTTCAAACTGTAAGTTTGTAGTTACAGTAATGAAATAGCTCTGTCAGAAGTGGAGATGGCACACAACACTGAGAGTTCGACCTGCGAGAGCTGATACCTCGTCATACTTTGGTTTCATTCGTGGCTACTTCGAATGATAGTCAACCACCATTTCAGCAATTTTTGACCTCTCCGACACGTGCCGTTTTCGCCATAAGATTTGTAGCCGTTTTCGCCAAGTCGAGGTTCAAATGGTGCCGTTTTTGCCAGGTGCCGTTTTGCTGTGGTGACGTTTCAGCCTGAACCCGATTAGAGTTATCTGCTCTTGAATATCACGAAAACTGTGTACAAGTGTAGAAATACCCGGGAAACTTCAACGATGGGAAAGCGGTATTACTGTGATTATTGTGATAAGTCTTTTGCAGATAATGCGACCAACAGGAAGAATCATTTAATGGGTGTATATCACCAAAAACAGAAGAAAGCTCATTACGATTCGTTCGTAAAAAGAGGTAATTGAATATTGGTAACTTCTAAATTCATCATGGAGATACCCGCCTGTCTAATATCCAGTTGATGATAAGCCTGGTCTTATGTAGACTTTGAAGTCTTCGAAAGCGGATTCTCCGACTTGCGACTGTTCGCTTCTGAAGAAGTGAACAAGTAATAGCAGGACACAAATACACAAGCCGACATTAGCACAACCTGTAACTTAGTGTAAGTCTGTTATCCAGCAGATTAGGCATTTCAAAATTTCCCTACTGCGTGCTCATGATATCAAACACTGGACTGTCTGTACTAAATTTAACTTTAAACTTCATATATAGTTTTTCTGCTGTTGAGTGATGCATAAACAACAACAAACCGAACAAATATAAGAGGCAACTAAGGCACAGGAACCCGTTATCGCTATATGTAGGTTAAACACGGACCATAGATCTACACTCACGTCACATATATTAATAGAGTACAGTGGACTCTAAACAATCCGACACTCACTTAGACTGGGAAAAAAAGTCGGATTATACAGAGTGTCTGATAATTCAATGTCTCCTTGCTTGAATACTTTTCAAAGAGTACCATACATTGTAACTGGCTTATATCATGAAATTAAAGCTTAACAGCTATGTATACGCTATTTATATATGTGACGTGCATGTATATCTATGGTCTATGTTTAACCTACATTGTAATAACGGGTTCCTGTGGACTTAGGGGATAACAATCATCTGTTAAAGGGGCACTGATCCAGAGCAATCTCCGTGGACTGGTTGTTGCTTTTGTTATTGTTTTCACCAGTTAGTACCCGGATAATATCACAGAATTCATGACTGGTTCGTTACCTCTGCTGCGCCACCCTCATGCGCAATTGATAATATCACAGAATTCATGACTGGTTCGTTACCTCTGCTGCGCCACCCTCATGCGCAATTGATAGTATAAGTATAGACTGATCAACAAAGATGAAATCTTTTTTACTCGATAATCTTTCATAGTATCATATTTCACACACACGCCCTAAGTGCGACCTAGTGTATGTTGTCTGTCGCATTACACTTCACAGCAAAAAAAAAATTATTCTCTGGAATACCATAACAAATAAATAAAAACAAAATGCAAATATTAAAATTAAAACAGACTAAAGTTATAGCAACAATATCAGGCTATTACCTTGTTCGGGGAATGTATCCATCAATATCCACATGAAGGAATGAGATGCCATTCATCTGCAGCTGACAAAGTATCCTGTTCCATGTCATGTGTCTTTTAACAGTCTAATATGCGAAAAAGGTGATCTATCGTTTCAGGTTTTTCACATTGGTGTATAGTCCCATTGGTCACCCAAGATAGCACACCTGGCAACTAATTGCATGATGTCTGCCATTCTTTAAAAAATAATTTAGTTAGCCAATAATGAGCAATCAATCAATGTATTGGCGGTTAATCCTTTGAAGGAAGGACGTTGTTTTTACAAAGAGACTTTACGACAGGGTGTATTCAGTATAGATTAGTAAATCTACATACATAAACACTACATTTTGACAAATCCTCTGTGCAGGCAAAAAGCAATTAATCAATCAGCGTGTTATCGGTTAATCCTTTGATCAATGTTTGTTCTGTAACTCAGCTGATAATTCCTCTTGCTGCACTAACATGCGCATATTACATAAGATGTAATACCTTTGCATCAGACCTCAATTTATAATGATGGTTATTTACTCCAGACACAAGAAATGCCAAATGGGAACCTTTGTCGGGTAATCTGTGTGGTGTTGTCACTAATTATACCTAAATTCATTAACTGACCATCAAGTGAATGATGACTAAATAACATGTGTAGGTTTACCACCAAACAAGGGTTACAGCAAGAGAGTAGTAATCGCTGTATTGCATGCAAGTTTGATTGCCTGAAAAAAACCTTATGGGCCGACACTGTTTTGAGGATATATGAACGGAACTTCATTGTTACATAAGAAATATATATAAGCATTTGCTGTGTACTTAGTTAAAAACTGTATATACCTATGTACCTAAGTAAAATTTCAGATTTTTTTTGCAATGGCAAAGTGGGGTTGTTTAGTTTATGGATTCAAATATATCAAATGTGTGTTTTTGATATTATAGCATGCGTAATAGACATCATATTTTTACATGATTTAATATCGAGGTAAAATACACAGAAATAGGATCAAATTGGATCAGTCACTATACCATCAAAACATTTGAAAATCTGAAAAAGCCTACACTGCTGGGATACTTTATTACAATCGGACAAGAACTACCAGGGATATTTTCAAATAACGGCATCTGATGGGCATCCACCCTTCCTAATGTCCCATTGATTAGGTTGAAGAAATTCTGCCAGGGTAGACAGTAGCCCAGTCCCTGCGTCCGTCACGGTCGAGGGAGCAGGGGCTGACCAGTTTGCAGCTAGGTTTCGTAATTAGACTGTTGGCTGGAAACATTAATCGCTCTGGATCAGTGGCCCTTTAATTGACTTGGTTGATAGTACCTGTCCCAGTTGTGTAGAAAAAGATATATTAATTTTTCTCATGAACTGATGAATACAGAAAAACAGTTGCTGTCTCTTTTTGTCAAAATGCGTAAAACGAACTGCAAATGAACTGAAATTATTAGTCCGTTAGAATATATTATAACCAAAGTATGCTGCATTTCCTTGTTGGCTATAAAAGAGGTAATATTTACAGTGCCCTCAAGATTATATGTTTCTACCCTACAATGTCCAATCTTAGAGATCTGAAATGTAAAAACTATGTTTCAGAATTGTCATAAAAGGAATACAAGGTTATTAGAGGTACACCTACAGAATACCGGATACCTACCAGCTATCTTGTTTAGTGTCATGTCACCTTAACGCTAGCCCTAACCCTAAACCTTACCCCAACCCTAACCCTAAACCTTACCCTAACCCTAACCCTTAAACCTTACCCTAACCCTAAACCTTACTCTAACCCTAAACCTTACTCTAACCCTAACCCTAAACCTCTAACCTCAAACCTTACCCTAACCCTAAACCCTTACTCTAACCCTAAACCTTACCCTAACCCTAAACCTTACCCTAACCCTAAGTAAACTCGCGTGGTTTCAAAGATGGTGGAAGGTATCCGGCATTCTGTAGTCTTACCACTGTCCTTTGTCGACAGCTATTTAAGTTGATTACCTTGTTTTCATCGCTATATGGCTGTAATATTTCCGATGCGATGTAAAATTCACTCACTCACTCACTGTAGTTTTACCTTATTAGATCCCCAGTGACCTATGGTTGTCATTAGATGACTGACATTGATTGATTGTAAGACTGTCTTGTGATATTGCTGGAGACATCACTGTGCAGGATTGACTGTTGTCTGAGGCCAGGAAATAAATCAAGTTTGGTTTAAATATATTTTGCATTTATGGAGGTATAAATGTAAAATTCAATGTCTACAGAGTGTACTTATACCTCCATAAAGTTGATAATATATGTAAGTCTTTAGTAATATCAAAGACTGCCTATTCAAACTTTACACACTCACAAAACTGTAGATACCAAAATGGGGCGGTGGGGTAGCCTAGTGGTTAAAGCGCTGGCTCGTCACGCCAAAGACCCGGGTTCGAATCCCCACATGGGTACAATGTATGAAGCCCATTTCTGGTGTCCCCAGCCGTGATGTTGCTGGAATATTGCTAAAAGCGGCGTAAAACCAAACTCAGTCAGTCAGTCAGTAGATACCAAATAGGTACATTGTTCATCACGATGCAACTCAAGCCCCATTCAGTCTTCACATAACTGGCAAAACCTACTTTTGTTTTGTTTTTGTGTATAAGGAAACATTTACTCCCAAAAGAATTGTTTGGTTTAACAGTGAAATAACTTTCATATGTTACCATGATCATTATGTGTTAAAATCTAATAATTAGTGCCTCAAAGTTAATCTTTGTTCATTAAGGGACACTGGTTGCCCAATTGTCTAAGAAGCAGTGATTACTATACAGAGTTGCATCCCTTAGGCACACCAGGATCCTCTGTTCGAGTCTCAGGTCATTTCTACATCTGTCAGCACCATATTCATGCTTGTGGGTGTCTAGAAAATGGTAAATGTCTGAGACCTTTTATGGAGCACCACTTTCCAAACAAAACCGCCTCCGTGGTGTAGTGGTTAGAGCGTCCGCCCAGAGCGCGGAAGGTCACGGGTTCGATCCCCGACCACGTCATACCAAAAGATGTTAAAATATGGTACTTGTTGGTCCCTGCCTGGCGCTCGGCATTAATGGGTACAACAAGGACTGGTCGGCTCGGAGTCAGTATAATGTGTCTGAGTGGGGTATTCATGCTTCACTGCGGCATGGTATCTCAGTGGGCTAGCACTATAAAACCAGCTTAAGTCTGGGCTAGTACAAGCAGCCACACATACACATGCATGCACGTCGTCATATGAGCGAAATATTCTCAAGCACGATGTTAAACCCAATTTCACCTCACCTTCCTAACACACTGTTATACAACTGAAATACTGTTGAAAACATCTCTTTCTCACTCACACATGCCCACACACCCTCACTCACTCACTGTGTTCATATTTCAAGCATGTTTGTTGTGTTGCAGATCCAGCCAAGATCTTAGCGGAGTCCTCCAAACTGCCTCTGTGTCACAACTTCAGAACTACAGGTACTGTGTTAAATAATGTTAAAGTTATCTGTTATAACCTCATTTGCCCATTTAATTTGTGTTTGTCCTCAGCAACACGAAGTTAGCTTACACTTGGTATATATCATCCATATTGAGAAACACCATGATGGGTCATTTTTTTAGTTAATGCAAAATATGTTTCAATCCTTAGTAATAAGTACCTGCCATTTGCCATTGAAAGACAGTTACATATACAGTGTGCTGCAGTCACTTTATAGTGAGGTGAGGTGAGGTGAAATTGGGTTTTGCGTCGTGCTTGAGAATATTTAACTCAAATGACGACGTGCATGCGTATGTATGTGTATGTGTGGCTGCTTGTACTAGCCCAGACTGAAGCTGGTTTTATAGTGCTAGCTCACTGAGATACCATACCGCAGTGAAGCATGAATACCCCACTCAGACACATTACACTGACTCTGAGCCGACCAGTCCTTGTTGTACCCATTAATGCCGAACGCTATGCAGGGACCAACAAGTACCATATTTTAACGTCTTTTGGTATGATGCTGTCGGGGATCACACCCGCGACCTTCCGCTCTCCGGGCGGACGCTCAAACCACTACACCACGGAGGTGGTCGCAGTTACTTTATATAAGACCACATATATTGTCGGCCAACGCTATGAAACAAGCATCAATTTGGTTTGTATAATCAGCTACACTCACATGCAATATTGATAATAATGAGTGTATTTTTATAGCACTAAATACTCCAGGCACAAAGTCTCTCCTCTAAGTGCTTGGACAGCACCTTATTACCTTGGATAACCCAAGCTGCCTGTGAGGCGCTAGATGGTTATAGTCACATGACTATCCCACCGGGTACCCATTTTCTGCTGAGTGAACAAGAGGTATGTTTGAACAAACTATCTTGCCTAAGGTGATACCAGATGTATCACATGTGCTTCGTTGTGGGGCAGGACTGAACTCCTAGAAACTCTCAGGAGTCAATCTGCCAAACACGTTCACACATCCAAGGACTCTCCGCACCCAATGTTGCTTAACTTCAACTGATTTGTGACCTGAGCACTGTGCACAGGAGCATACATCCCCACCTAAATAACCCACGAGTATTGAAAATAGTGGGTAGTGGTGTCGATGTCGAAAGAAGGATTAAAAAAGGATTAAAAACGATTATCGATTTTAAAAAAAACATATTTTCGATTAATTGGAATTTTGTTGTTTTAGTTTAACACACCAGAATGAAGTAAACTAGTGATTAAATTTGACGAATATTCACGAACAAACATGCGCTCAACAGCATAAAGCTATGCGCATTGTAAAATTGTAACTACTTTTATTGTTTAATTACAATTCCAGTGTATTTGTTGCATGCATGCATTTCATAGCATGGCAGTATTAGTTATAAGGAACATTTATTAGAAAAAACCTGGGGAAAAGCCCTTAAAATTGGTGATTTCATTAAAAATGTATATTCTTTGCACATGATGGAATTTGTTCACATGAGGCATCAGCTGATGAATGTCAATCAATAAAACTTCAATCCTGAATTACGTTGGCACGGTATCATATATTCCTGCCTATTCTGTCCAAATTAATGTTGATGTTTGAATGGATACCTAATTTATTCACACACTCAACTTGTCACCATTTGGGCAAGGACACCGGGCAGCAATGTGAATCCGAGGAGCTACCCTGTACCATAACCCGTGAAGATCCGGGTTAGAATATTGATCTTCAGTAACCCATGCTTGTCGTAAGGGGCGACTAACGGGATCGGGTGGTCAGGCTCACTGACTTGATTGACACATGCCATCGGTTCCCAATTGCGCAGGTCGATGCTCATGCTGTTGATCACTGGATTGTCTGGTCCAAACTCGATTATTTACAGACTGCCGCCATATAGCTGGAATATTGCTGAGTGCGGCGTAAAACTAAACTCACTCACTCACCCTGCATAATATAGTGCAAAATATTGCTAACGTTTGAGATTGCTAAGTACATGGGTCCATCCTCATTTCAGAAATGATATTATACGTGCATACAGTCGCCAACAGCGCAAGGGATTCTATAAATCCGGCTGGGGAAGGAGTGTTGTAAATCTCCATGGTCCCCAGTATGGTGGTCCATCTTTGGTTGCTGGTGATCTGCAGCCAGATTCTATATTGTGTTGTTGAATGATGATTTGGCATATCAAAATGATCTGAAACTAGTTTTAAATATAATCTGTGATAATCTAGTTGTCATCCTGTTCTTCGATGACAGCTTTTTATAAAGTATTAATATATTTATTCTAAATGTATAACTTTTTGTCGTAATGATATGGCTGATATATTATGATGTACAATTTAGCTTACTCACTCACTTCAGAAATGATATGATTTCTGTTGATCCTAGAACTAAACAAAATGGGCTCAAAACAAGGATATGTCCACAAACAGGCCCACTGTATTTATGATCAGGGATTTACAGGATGCAGGAATTCACGTCCTATATGCATAAAAATTGACAATGGACGCAGCAAAATTTATTAGCTCGTCCACAGGGACGCTGAAAAAGTCCAAATACTTTTTGTAAAAATTCCAATCAAGTGACATAACTTATCACTGAGTTTGCTACTAGCTGGGTTATGGTATTATTTGCAATTTAATTACTGTAACAATGTGATGATCATGATACACAATACAATAACAGTATTAATAATAATATTTAAGTGTCTGGGACCCCCATTTTGTTGTCCAGGACCCTGAAAATTAAGAGTATGAGTCCCAGGGACCCTCAAATACAGGACTCAAGGTAAATCCCTGTATGATAATAGAGTAGAGATCTTATAAAACATAAAAAGAACATTGAGTGTTAATCTCAACTGTTGCTTGATGTCTAAAGCTTCACTAGATACATAAATGTCTTTGTTCTTCCAGGAGAATGTCATTTTGGTGTCAACTGTCGATGGTCACATGTGACGGACCAAGTCAGGGAAGAGCTGGAGAATGAAAGTGAGTACCAGTCCTCTTGCTTTATCTTATATTGGGATTCATCTGTTCAGTTGTCGGTTAAGTTCTACATTTTCTACATAGCTGGAACTATGAAATATAGCCCATAGATAATGGGCTGAATGACACCAGGTGTGTGTAACATGTAACAATATATCTTCCAGCCTCAGTTAGGAGTAAGAGAAAGACTCGAGACTGGCTGTGTGATATTGTATTATTTATCTCTCTCCTTCAGTCAGGAATAAGAGAGAGGCCTCCATTAAGCAAAGACAAGAGGAGGAGAAGGTGCCAACGCTAGAGGAATGGCTGGACAAACGAGCCAAGAGACTGAAGACCGAGGACGATGTGAAGAGTGGAATCCCAGAGCCATCAGATGAAGCCGCAGTGTACCAGCTTCCGGTGTATTCTCTACCTCCAAGTCTTGCCAATATCCCCAACCTGCCCCCCTCACTCCTACCCCCACTCCCAGACGCCTACAAGTATCTGCCACTGGAGGAGTGGGGATGAGTGTATTCTCTACCTCCAAGTGGGGTAGCCTAGTAGTTAAAGCGTTGGCTCGTCATACCGAAGACCAGAGTTCGAATCCCCAGATGGGTACAATGTGTGAAGCCCATTTCTGGTGTCCCCCGCCGTGATGTTGCTGGTATATTGCTAAAAGCGGCGTAAAACCAAACTCAGTCAGTCAGTACTTCCGGGTTTCACCATAATGGTAGAGATGCGAGACCTACATCACTTGGGTTTTACTTCCACATTAAGTGACCTGCCGTGACATACCTGAACCATTGTTGAAAGTGGTGTTTAACCTAACCTGCTCACTCAGATTATAGAATCCACACATCCCCTGAAGATCCAGGTTAGAATTGATCTTCAGCATCCCATGCTTGTTGTAAGAGACGACTATCGGGATCGGATGGTCAGGCTCGCTGACTTGTTTGACACATGTCATGTCCCAACTGCCAGGACTAGATTATTTACAGTCATCATATAGCTGGAATATTGCTGATTGTGTACCAGTGAAGATCCGGGTTAGACTTGGTCTTCAGGAACCCATGCTTGTTGTAAGAGGCATAATGCAATTGGGTGGTCAGACTCGCTGACTTGGTTGCCAAATGCATAGATCAATGCTAATGCTGTTGATCACTGGATTGTCTGGTCCAGGCTTGATTATTTACTGCTGCCATGTTGCTGGAATATTGCTGAGGGTGGCATTAAACAAGAACAAACAAACAAACAAAGCTGATTGCAGCATTCAACAACAAAAATATAGAAAAGAATCAATGCCAACACAACAGTGATTATAAGATTTATTACATGTCATATATTATGGGAACCATTTCTTAATTTCCTGTATGTACAGAAATTCTACAAGTCAATAAATGGACAGAGAACGTATCAACCTCTGCTGTTTCAATCTTGCCATCCTGTTTATGCCAGTAGTGGACCAAGAAGTGGTGCCGTTAAATTCGGTAAAATTTTGATATTTGTCGAGGTGGGGGTTGATATGAACATGTTGATGAAATCAAAGAATGAAACAAAAATTAACTAAAAATGAATCATTTCTTTGTGTTGAAATACACTTAAACCAGTCTTCCTATTCTACTACTACTACTGGAAATGACACTTTGTCTCCATCTTTTAAACAGAACTGTTAAAGTGAAATGTGAAACACTGGGAGATTTCTTAAGAAACTAATAAATGAATATTCATGCCCAAGGTTAGAACACCAAGGTATGACTATAATTCAGCAGAAAAGCCTAGGTCAGCTCCACGGCAACGAAATCATCTCCACGGCAACACTTTCAGCTGTAACAACCTAGCAACAACAACAGCATGTCTTTAATCAACAGTAACTACGAGATATGCTGTGCACAGTAAAACATGCTAACAATGTACATAACAGATGTAAAATTGTAAACAATTTACAGCTTACTTTTGGCAGAAGAGCAATTTTATAACTTGACAAAATGTTAACATCTTAACAATTTACAACACCTATCTGCATAATGCATGTAACAAGGCACCATTTGTTACAATTCTAAATTTTTATTTGAAAAGATCACTATATTTAAGCCATTCTTTACTTAAGTACACATAAGTGATTTGGATATTAATCTGATATTAAATCTTACAAAATCCCTTAAACACTCTTAAATGTATTTTGAAGCAAGTGTAACTACGGCAAACCAAAGCTGCAGAGGACGAGATTACTTTTTCACTATAAATATATATATATGTTTTGAATAAGCCAATCTCAATAAAATTATATCTTGGACTCCAGTATATTCTGTCTCTGCATTAAGATCTGACAACTCGACAGAAAGGGGAGTTGAAAGTTCGTTTTCGAGATACCAAAACCAAATCTGTTGCTAATTTAAACAGAAATCTAGATGGTGATTGGTCAAAGAGAACACGAGATATCGGAATTAAGGATCTAGTGTTAACAAGATTGGTAAAATACACTTTGAGATAAATTCTTAAATTATTTACAAAACATATCAAAGATTTACCCATTCCTATTATCACGACAATGATAGCAGTCGCCTTGCATACAAAATCAGTATCAGCTCTTAAATATTGTATTAATTATATGTGAACAAGGAGTTAGATATTATGACAAGGAGTATTATCCATAAAAAGTTTATTCTACTATACACATTTCAGTTCAACTTGATAAATTTTTGAGACAAAGTTGCAATCTATTTTTCTCTGCAGTAAACTTGCACTGATGAAAGTTAAATCAAGTTTTTGTACAACAGCTACATTACTACTTGTAATAACTGCATCCAAATTGTACATGCCTACAAAACTTAATAATTAGGATACTTAAACCAAAACTGAAAATAAAAACATTCTTTAATTTGCGTAACTAGTTAGACTGAATATACTGTGACAGCCTACTGTTATTTTGTCTCACTGTTAAGTATGTAGTGCGTGTGCCCTTTCTGCAATACCTCAGTCACACCACTTGGGTAAGTAAGGATTGTATCACAGAGATTCAAACCCAGTCCTCTGCAACCACTGTCAACATCCTAACCTACTGGGCTATTCTCCTTCAACTCTCACTGCTCAGTGCACTCAGCTATTAAACTTATTATGTACACGAAAATACATTTGGTGACATTCACCTTCATTCCTAGCATCAGTAGACATCTAAAACGCCCTGTATGTCAATAACACCTAAATGACATGTCCGAAATACGAGATTTATAATCGAAATTGGAAACAAAGCAAAGACAGAAAGCCATATATTTATGAAAAAAATAACAAATAGCCACTGAACACATTTTTATTTTTAAAAAATGTAAAAAAGAAGTAGAAAATGTTTAAATATAAGGAGTAGTACACCAACAAGGGATGTAAAAGGTCTGGAATGTATCTACGAAACTGAGACGCGAGTATGATATGGACACAGTTGGACTCAATATGGCTTAACTACAAGTATAGTTTGGACGCTAATATACTGAGGATAATCTGCCCATTGTACTGGTAACCACTTGTCCTATACCAAGATAAGCTCAGTGACAACTTGTAAGTTTATGTAAATATTTTAACATTATATGGTTGCCGTTTACAACCATATTTTATGTACGGATGTAACAGATGAATATGGTTTAACTGGGATACTGAAATACGGAGGATAATCTGCCCATTAGGTGCGTATTTGTCACCACTCGTGTTATACCAAGCTGAATGGCGACATGTAAGTTTACATAGATATTTTAACATGACATGGTTGCTGTCTACAATCTCATGTTATGTAGAATAAAACAGATGTGATTCTGTTTTGCATATTTAGATACGAGCTATACCTAAATATGGTTGTTTAAAACTGTTTTCACTAATATTGCAGCTGTATGACAGCGGTTTGTAAATAATCAAGTCGAAACTACACACTCAAGTGGTTGATATTGAGAATGACACGCCATCAAAGAACAACAGCAAGTCGTCAAGTCTTACGATTGATCTATAGTGACGTCTCCAACAGGTATAGATTGTTGACCTAAATTTGGATGAATTCATTGACCAAAATACTTATAGTCATAAGAACATTCTGATTGGTTCGTTCGTGGTTTCGTACATAACAATATCAATAAGGGGAGAGTACTCTAACAGAAATGGACGTATGGTGACGGATCCAGATCTCCGTGGATGCTTTATCTATGTTGCAGCAAGATATTAGGCTAATACTGTATATATACTTTATAACATGATATTGGGGCTGTTGGCAGTTATAAAACCAACAAGTTGTCCGTGTTGTTGGTCCTCGAAGTATTAGAATAACAGATGATTTAGCATGTTGTTTCCAATGTTGCCAAATATGCGTCAAGTTCACCATAATGTAAAACCTAATCTTGTACTGGCTGTAACACAAAGCACATGTCGAAATACATGGTTATAAGATAGTCATATGATATTATATCTCTTGGGCATAAACTAAAGAAGGCGGCATGAAAGTACTGCAACGATAAAGTACCTTTGTTCTGTTCACATTTAAAAATTTTGTATATTATATGTGCAAAAAATTAAATGGCACTCCAGCAGACCAATATTCATGTTTTTGGACATAATTCTTTTCCCATTCCACTTGGTCTGGCATCTATGGTAAACAGTAAACATTAATGAAAGTAAAAGTCTCTTGCACGAAGGCTTCATGCTATCAGTTTGTTTACCAAAATAATGGTCTAAAATTCCATGGAAAATGAAAACAAACTCAAAGATCCAACAATATGGAACCATTATTGCAAAACGATACAAATATATCACTGATTGGTTTCTTTGGTTTTGTAAAATAAAGATTTTATGTATATTAATCATTTCTCACAAACAGTGGGGATAAAAGTTCATGCTTGTAATTTTATTTCTCCGGATATTAAAATTCCCCAAAAGTTGTCTTCCTTTTTCTAATTTCAGTGTTTTTTGTCGGTCTTTTTAACAAACAAATCAAATATAAGGTCCAAGTGAATGAGTGAGTTTAGTTTTACGCCGCTTTTAGCAATATTCCAGCAATATCACGGCAGGGAATGGGCTTCCAGGAATGAGCTTCACACATTTTACCCATGTGGGGATTCGAACCTGGGTTAGCGGCATGACAAGCAAACGCTTTAACCACTGGGCTACCCCATCGCCCCATAAGGTCAAAGTCCAACCGCCCAGCCATTGATTTACAATCAGATATTTGTTTAAACCCAAGAGATCTGAGCAAGTACGTACACAGAACACAATTTGAGGAACTGGTTACACAGTACTTCAACATAAATAGTAGTCATCGAGTATAACATGAATGATAATACTGAAAGATGGACTAAATCACAGTTACATGATAATGTTATTTCCACAAACAAGTCACTAAAAATGCTGAAAAGCCCATTAGATTGAGAATAATTTTATAAAGACAGTTCCATATGCTACTGTCATAACTAAATATATAACACACACAATGCTATTTTTCAAACTGATAAGTATATTTCAATTCAAATTTGTTTTCCACAAAACAATTGAGCTGAACAAATTAAGCATTGTGTCTACGATATTATGTTTGAGTTTAAGTGAAATATTTCTATTTCAGAGAAATCACGGTGTCCGATTAGTTACTCATTATATTAATCTTATTTAATTATGATGATTATGAAGCTAGTACTAGTTAATTATACCAAATGAAATTATTAACTAAGTGCTGTTCTATATAAAGTTGGCACAAGAAATTCACTTATCAATATATGTTTGTTAGGTACATAATCATATTATACTGTCTGATTTGTCAAAATATGTGATACCCATTCATTGAATACATGATAATTATGAACATAGTGTATTCAGTTAATTTGTCAAATTTAATATCAATCAATTAGATACATCAAATATTCTAACAGATATGTATAGAAGTTTTACACATTTGCTGATTTTACTAGACAAATTCTGTAACCAAATGTTTCTTGAGTATCATTGGCAATGTTCCAAGCACACCTGTCTGTCCTTAACGAGCCTCAGCCCAGGTGTTCAAACATATCATCAAATCACCAGAAAAACATCAACATTAGATGACCACTGGTAATAAATAACACATTGGGACTTGAATCGGTGCCAGTCGTGTGTTTAAAAAATGACATTGCTTGGATATGAACTAGACAACCCATCAGACATTTACGACTAAAGAGGAAAAGATAAGTCTCCCATACTGAGAGAAGAAGGGTGGCATACTGTTGCAAGTCTGAGTGCTGGGTATGAATTATATCCAAAGATAATATGACCAAAGAATATTCAAGGGCACAGTAATAAGGAGATGGCAACACTAGGAGATGAATCGTCAGCCATCTTGATGTGAGGATATTGCGAATCAAATCAAAACCAGACATTACTATATCTGAGACAGACTGACTGAGTTTGGTTTTGCCGCTTTTAGCAATATTCCAGCAATATCACGGCGGGGGACACCAGAAATGGGCTTCACACATTGTACCCATGTGGGGATTCGAACCTGGGTCTTCGGGAGTGACGAGCCAACACTTTAACCACTAGGCTACCCCACCGCCCCCTATATCTGAGAACATTCAGTAACGGAATCCATTCAATAAAACTTTGAAAGATATTCTTTCACCTACATAAAGAGGTATCTTATTCTAGGATACACATTCCAGTCTTCATACCACTGAGCATCCGTCAACCTATGTTTTGAAGTGGAACAATTTTGGATAGACAACTATATATTGCAATAGATTGACTGACTGAGTATGGTTTTACGCTGCTTTTAGCAATATTCCAGCAACATCACGGCAGGGGACACCAGAAATGGGCTTCACACATTGTACCCATGTGGGGATTCAAACCCGGTCTTCGGCGTGACGAGCCAACGCTTTAACCACTAGGCTACCCAACCGCCCCATATTGCAATAGATGCAATGTCTATCCATAATAACGAAACTGCTTCTCTTCATCATAACAGCTTCCAAATGCTACTTAAAAAAGAAATTGTTTGTTTTATTTAATTCTGGCAAATATTTTCCCCCGACTTCCTTCAGGCAACCTGTACTTGGTTTAGTCAAAGTAATCCTTTGCATTACTGAATTCAAGTATCTCTGCTTTGAAATACATGTTAAGAAGCGAGCTTGTTTCTCTTTTCGAAAAGTCATCTCTTGAGGACATGCACCCCATCTTTGTTTGGAAGTTGTGTTCAGCGCAGTGTGAACCCAATCTATTGATCTGTCCAACTGGAGGACTTCAGCCCTTGAACCACATATGGTGTCACCTCCTACTTCCTAGAGCTGTTGGATTGCTATCTGCATATAGACTATCCTCTGGCCTTGAGCACAACCATTTCTATCTGCATCACATACGTTCTATATGGTTGCACTCTGAAATAAAACTTCATAGCACTTTAACTTTAGACCACTATGTAAGCTTTGTAATATCTACATCTCAACGTTCATCATATATCCTTGTAACTGAATGGACCAATATCTACAGCACAGAGTCTGTTTGTTTTACTGCAGTTGAACCATTTAGTATCCACTTCTAGTACAGTGAAATCCTTCCATTGTACTGTAGTGAAATCCTTCCATTGTAATGTAGTGAAAATCCTTCCATTGTACTGTAGTGAAATCCTTCAATCACAGTATATTCACCCTGCAGCTGAAACCTCAGTATCCACATTGAATCACTTCTAGTGCTGTGAAATCCTTCAGTTGTACTGCAGTGAAATCCTTCAATCACACTGCAGCTGAAACCTCAGTATATTGAATCACTTCTAGTGTGAAATCCTTCACTTGTAATGTAGTGAAATCCTTCAATTGTACTGCAGAGAAAACCTCGGTATCCACAGCACTTCACTTCTTTTACTGTGAAATCCTTCAGTTGAACTGCAGTGAAATCCTTCAACCACAATGCAGTAAAATCCTTCCGTATTCACTACAATTAAATCATTCAGTTCCACACAACACTGTTTCCGAACATACGGTACATCATTATGACTTCTCTGCATCTTCCCAACTGACGATTTCGGTAACAAGATTCCGTCTGCTCAACCACTGAAACCTTTGACCTCTGACCCTTCCAGTTCAACTGTAGTTAAATCCTTCAAAATCAGGAACTCATGAGGACTTTAGTTGATTCGTTCAAAATGGGGAACCATCAGAATCTGGAAAAATCAGGAATTTTTGCATGCAGCTTAATCCTCCAAAACCAGGAATCTGTCGAAATCTTTGTTCAACACCGATGAATTCCATCCAGGATTAAATCAACTGCATCTCTCATCCTTTCATTTACCACAATCAAATCCTTCGATTACAGCAATTGCCAACATGTTGTCACAGGAGATAAATTCCTCAGAAATACGTCCAAGGTTGTCACAGAGAAAGAAGGTTTCCCTGCAAGTCGACTTCCCGTCCAAGTGAAAACGAAAACAGTAACAGGGTGTTGATGAAGTAACTAAATCAGCGATGAGATATGACATCGAAATGTACAACACAATGCTGACACGTATAGCGGACGGCCGATGTGGATAGATCAGCGAGATATGACGACACACACACAATCTGTTGCACTTGGCCCAATGGTAACCTGAAGAGCTGTACCAGGCTCACACGCCTCACATCTAGTGCTATGCTTCACCTGAAATGGACAACAATACTGTCATGTCTATTTCATCATACATCACGTTCATATCAAGAGTGAGTGAGCGAGCTGAGTTTTACGCCGCACTTGGCAATAATCCAGCTATATGGCAGCGGTTGTAAATAATCTGATCTGGACCAGACAGTGATGACATGTGTCAACAAAGTCAGCGAGCCTGACCACCCAATCCCGTTATTCGCCTTTTACGACAAGCATGGGTTGGTGAAGATCAATTCTAACCTGGATCTTCATGGGTATCATATCATGAACAAAACAACAATACTAACATAAATTACACTTGCTCTGCATTACTTTTAACAAAACAACAATATCCGAACAAAACAACAATATTTACAGAGGTTACACTAGCTATGCGTTAATATCTTCACCATCCACAGAAGGTACGCTACGTATGTGAATTACTGAACAATTAACATCAGTTTATGGAGGTAGGAAAGTGAAAAAATGGTGCACAAACCAATTTTCACATTACCGTAACTTAAGATATGAATCTCAGCATTTGGTGAAGTGTACAAGTTGTAATTGTGTAAATGCCAGAGCAAAAATATATTGAGGCCAATTCTTACAAGTACACAACTCGGCAATATTAACTGCAAAGTAGGGCTGTTACAATTCAGTGGTGTATTCGGTGAATTGAGCAATATGCTTTCATGAAATTTATTAATGTTTTAAAAATGGAGTATGTTTACTTAAGTTTGGGTGTCATTATCAAAGCAAGATATGCATGATGGAATATACTCTAAGCCAGACAACATAACAGTCAACACTTATATATTGTATATGTTAGTAATGTGAGTGTGTATGGTTTTCCGCTGCTTTTAGCAATATTCCATACAGGTGGGGAGATTCTACTGATACACTTGAGCTAAGATAGCAATGATGGCAAGGATTAGACAGGAGCTTCAACAGATGCCGTGTTCATGTTATATGTAAAAGTTCTTATTAGAAGTGATACTTGTTATCACAAGATGTAAAAACAGTCTGCGACTTTAACCAGTTGTCCGGAGCCTGAGTCTAGTAAAATTCAGTTGGGTCAAGTGACTGACTGACTGAGTTTGGGCTTTACGCCGCTTTTAGCAATATTCCAGCAACATCACGGCGGGGGACACCAGAAAAGGGTTCACACATTGTACCCATGTGGGGATTCGAACCCGGGTCTTCGCCGTGATGAGCCAACGCTTTAACCACTAGGCTACCACACCGCCCCTGGGTCAAGTGAACTCTGCTAATAATGGTCCACATAGTTACAATAAACTCTACTAAAAATATAATGCTTATTGAGCCAATAGACTCGTGTGTGTTTAGTACAGACTGTATATATATATTTAAATATATGGGATATAAACAGACTAATCATTCAGAGTAACACCAGACCAAATATTATGCAAATGGAAACATTGTGTTATGGAATGTGGAATTCCAAAAGTTTTCATATATAGAAGTATTGTGTTGTTATGGAAACAAACAATCACATTCCCTTCTTTAAAGAAACAAAGCAAGTCTAGAAGACAGAAAAGCCAAGATGTTAGATAATATACATGTAGATACAATAATTGCAGAATGTGTAGATTTACCATTCTTTAAACACACTTCTCCCACCATGGAAGGTCTTACTATGCTGAAAATTGAAATTGCTGAATTACTTTATAGTCCACGTAAGACGGATTGCTCCCTAAATTTTGCATAGCAAATTTCATTAATCGATCCACACCATGGGTACGATGACCAAGTTAGCGAGCCTGACCACCCAATCCCGTTACTCGCCTCTTACGACAGGCATGGTGCTGGCAAAGCAACACCAAAATAAGGGGGCATCTAGGATTCAAACCATTGATCATAGGTTTCTGATACACGAAAGGGACATAACTCTGCACATCTAGTCCGTGTCGCAAGTCGCCTTTTTGCACGGTGTGGGAGTGACAGAGGTTTGAGAAAAGAACTGCATTAGAACAAATGGAGTAATAGTCACCCATATTATTATTATTATTATTATTATTATTATTATAGGATATTTATATAGCGCACATATCCAGGCAACTAGTGCATGCTCAAGGCACTGGTATTTTTCCCTCGATCAATGGATCTCAATCTCTCCACGGCACATTGTATTATCAATCTCAACCGCCTGGGGAGTATACAACTCTTGCAGCGACTAGGTGCACCGAATTGTTGTGGCTTTCTCATCCTAACGAGGTACCCATTCACAGCTGGGTGGACTGGGACACATAGTCACAGTACTTTGTCCAAGTTCACCGCACGTTGCTGTACCTAGCGAAGAAATTCTACCAAGTGACTTACTACAATCTATATCGTTGAACCTAGGACTGTGAGGTGTGTCTTCGTGAGAGCCACTGGTCACTGATGTTGACCGACTCCCCCGCGCCCATAGCGGAGCTTGATTATGACTGGCTAAGAAGCTGTCTATGTCTTCGTCCGACAGGTCATCGATGTCATCACTGAAACAAACAAAACAAATATTGCAATCGTAGCCCATGTAGAAAGCAGATGATTTACGATCATCTTAGTACCACAATCATTTAGCCGAACAGGGTTCCGAAGTATCACTTGATTGCACAGAGAAGAGTGAGTGAGGTGATTTAGCCATTGTTTCGGTAATGTTCACAAATGCTGAAAATATGCACCAGAATTGTCATCACAATTTACAAAGTGACCACAGTCCTATGACAATCATAAGTCTATGCATTCTATGCTGAGATTTATACACGGAAAGGGAACGCTTAGCTGAGCTGTAAGCAGCAGCATCTTTAAGTCCACACCTACCTCCTACCCAAAGGTTGACAAATATCCTCATGCAAAATATTCTCAAGGGGTCATAGTTGTATTGTAGAGGGTAATCATTGGCCAGAGAATCTGAAGATATGCAACACCAACTAATGCTTCAAGTTATCTATATTCCTTTCCTACGAGTCATAAATGTCTACCTATGCTGAACACCAACTTCTTAATGCCCCTCCAAGAAGTTGTCTACCTATGCTGTATACTTAACAAATGTCTCAACCACATGTTATAGCTGTTTATGATTACATGATTACAAAACCACCTTCACTACTGCAGGAGTGTGATCGTATATTTTGCTTCAGGTTTCAGTAGGCGGGGCAACAGGAAGTGTTACTGACCTGTCTGACATGAGACTGTCATCACTGTCCAGGTCCTCCTCCAGGGCCGCCTGCAGGTCATTGATCCTCTTGAAGGCCAGCTTCAGGTCAGACTGGTTCTGTATAGCATCTACCTCCAGCTCCTCTACTCTGCTGTCCTGTATCAACAACATGGAGGATGTGAAGACAAAAAACCTAGTATTTTTTGTTAGTGTAACTCGCACATAGCACTATACCAGCTATATGGCGGCAGTATGTACATAATCAAGTCTGGACCAGACAATCCAGTGATCAGCAGCATGAGCATCGATCTACACCACTGGGATACAGTGACATATGTCAAGCAAGTCAGGGGGCCTGACCACACAATACCCTGGGTTGCTGAAGACTAATTCTAGCCCGGATCTTCACAGGTCATGAACTTCATAACAACCAAGCCTCTGTGTTTGCCAAATTAACACCCTGACTACTTCTTCCATTGATGAGTATAAAAATAACAAACAACAGACATTAGTGGGCACAGGGCATTCATTGCCTTGTGCCGTATTGGCATTTCTAAACTATTAACAATTATGAGTGATTTTGCAGTTTATCGTTCTCCTCTGGAGACAAAGGTATTATGAGTATTACCCCAGAGATGTACTTATATTTATACCATGTTCATAATAGAGTAGTGTAAGTACTTAGAACTGGATAAAACTTAGGCAATGAAAGACCTGTTGCCATGACAGAATATGCCAGAATTATCTCCCCTTGATCGGTAATTTTCACACTTGTCAGACTGACTGACTGAGTTTTGGTTTTATGCCGCTTTTAGCAATATGCCAGCAACATCAAGGCGGGGGGACACCAGAAACGGGCTTCACACATTGTACCCATGTTGGGATTCGAACCCGGGTCCTCGGTGTGACGAGCCAACGCTTTAACCACTAGGCTACCCCACTGCCCCCCCACACTTTTCAGAACCATGAATGTTGAACAAAACTTCGATCAATTCTTACCAGTTCCTGCTTCTTATTGCAGGCATCAAATTCCTTCTTCTGGGAGTCTGTCAACTCTTCTCGGAGATCTCGCAACTGTTTCTGGAGACGTTTCATGGACTCCTCAATCTGCATTTTGGCCATAACAGCGTCTCCTTTCTCAGTCTTCTCTTTCTCCAGCTGTTCCTTTAACCTGGACACCTGGACCTGTACATCAACAGACACTCAGTACCTCACGCACTTAGTCACATCATCCTTAACCTGGAGTCACATCATCCTCAGTAACCTGACACCTGGACACCTGGACCTGTACATCAACAGACACTCAGTACCTCCGGCACTTAGTCACATCATCCTTTAACCTGGACACCTGGACCTGTACATCAACAGACACTCAGTACCTCAGGCACTTAGTCACATCATCCTTTAACCTGGACACCTGGACCTGTACATCAACAGACACTCAGTACCTCCGGCACTTAGTCACATCATCCTTTAACCTGGACACCTGGACCTGTACATCAACAGACACTCAGTACCTCCGCACCACTTAGTCACATCATCCTTTACTCACCTGGACCTGTACATCAACAGACACTCAGTACCTCCGGCAGTCACATCATCCTTTAACCTGGACACCTGGACCTGTACATCAACAGACACTCAGTACCTCAGGCACTTAGTCACATCATCCTTTAACCTGGATACCTGGACCTGTACATCAACAGACACTCAGTACCTCCGGCACTTAGTCACATCATCCTTTAACCTGGATACCTGGACCTGTACATCAACAGACACTCAGTACCTCAGGCACTTAGTCACATCATCCTTTAACCTGGATACCTGGACCTGTACATCAACAGACACTCAGTACCTCACGCACTTAGCCACATCATCATGACATATAGCTGCAACACTGCTGAAAAACAGTCATACAGTCCGATATTGCTACACATGGTTTCTTATTTGTTGTTAACATCACACTCAGCAATATTCCTGCTATATAACATTGGTCTGCTAAACATGCAAGTCTACTACAGTGTCAAAACTTTTGGCAATATTTCCTGAATATATTAAAGCTGTTCCATGGAGTAGTATTATGTGATCTTTCTTGACCATAAGAAATTTTATTACAATAAAGGTTTCGGACTGAAGGCACCTCTTGTCTCTCACCTCTATTCTCTGTCTAGTCGTCTGTTCTAGGTCTAGTTTTGCTTCCAGCTCTCGGATCTTGTTCTCTAGCCGTGTGACGGAGTGTTTGTCGACGCTAGTGTCCTCATACGACATGACCTTGGATGACAGGTTCTCAACCTACAGGAGGAAACGATCAGTCACAGTTTCCAGATGATTTTATATAAGGTATTTACAAAGATGATTTCTTATTACCATAATGGTAATTATTGATGGGGTGACACTACGTCAAGCATGTGTCAGAACCTGGGTCTTTGGTGTGACAAGCAAATGCCTGAACCACTGAGCCACCAAAACGTTCCCATGGAAACCAGTAAATAACTGAATTATTGAACATATATTAATATTTTAAAATTTTAAATTGCTGATACAAAATTACAGATTTCAAAATTAGAAAATGGTTGCTGATTGAGCTTGGTGTAGTGCTGCTTTTAAAGTATTTCCTTCATATCACTGCAAGTTAGCTTAATGTGGTTTCAGGAAACATAAATTATACATTCATCTTTCCAAAATGTCTTACCTCTTGCTGAAGACTACTTTTCTCTGTAGATAAATCTTCTATTTGCTGAAGCTGTGCTGAAAGTGTTATATGATCAACCGATTGCTGAAACGAGAAAATGGCATCAGTTAAACAACAGGATGGGCATGAAGAGGTGAAAGAGAGAAAACACTTCTTGTGGTGCTGAGAGTGAAACTCCCTCAAGACCTTGACTGAAGGTTTTACAACATTTAGCAACTTCATTCATTCGGGTCTCCAAAAGTTTGGACACAACACAATGAAATTGAGCAATAATTTACAAGTTTTGGACACAACACAATGAAATTGAGCAATAATTTACAAGTTTATCACGGAACCACACAACACAGTACAGTTGACCGAACCCACATTGGCCCACACAACACAGTACGGTTGACTGAGGGTATTACCTGTTGCACCACAACACAGTACGGTTGACCGAGGGTATTACCTGTTGCACCACAACACAGTACGGTTGACTGAGGGTATTACCTGTTGCACCACAACACAGTACGGTTGACTGAGGGTATTACCTGTTGCACCACAACACAGTACGGTTGACTGAGGGTATTACTTGTTGCACCACAACACAGTACGGTTGACTGAGGGTATTACCTGTTGCACCACAACACAGTACGGTTGACTGAGGGTATTACCTGTTGCACCACAACACAGTACGGTTGACCGAGGGTATTACCTGTTGCACCACAACACAGTACGGTTGACTGAGGGTATTACCTGTTGCACCACAACACAGTACGGTTGACTGAGGGTATTACCTGTTGCACCACAACACAGTACGGTTGACTGAGGGTATTACCTGTTGCACCACAACACAGTACGGTTGACTGAGGGTATTACCTGTTGCACCACAACACAGTACGGTTGACTGAGGGTATAACCTGTTGCACCACAACACAGTACGGTTGACCGAGGGTATTACCTGTTGCACCACAACACAGTACGGTTGACACCCCCACGGACCCACACAACACAGTACGGTTGACTGAGGGTATTACCTGTTGCACCACAACACAGTACGGTTGACACCCCCACGGACCCACACAACACAGTACGGTTGACCGAGGGTATTACCTGTTGCACCACAGCCTTGTATTTCTTCATGACCTCAGCCATGTCCTCCTCATTCTCCTCCACCTTGTTCTGGAGGTCCGACTTCTCTCTCAGAAGCGTCATATTACGGTCCTCAGCCTGAAAGACAAACATACACATTGTAAGCCAGCCATATGGATTGAATGTTTGTCTGTTTGCAACTGTTTAATGCAATATCCCAGCTATATGGCCACGGTCTGTACATAATCAAGTCTAGACCTGACAATCCACTAATCTACAACATAAGGATCTATCTATGCAACTGGGATACGATGACGTGTCAACCTAGTCAGTCAGCCTGACCACCCAATCCACTTAGTCGCCTTAAAACAAGCATGATTGAATGAGTGAGTTTAGTTTTACATCACTTTCAGCAATATTCCAGCAATATCACGGTGATGACAAGCATGGGTTGCTGAAGACCAATTCAAACCCCAATCTTCACAAGTCTAAATGGATTCGAAATCATCATCGTCATCGTCATCATCATCATCATCATCGTCGTCGTCATCATCACCATCATCATCGTCGTCGTCATCATCATCATCATCATCGTCATCATCATCATCGTCATCGTCATCATCATCGTCGCATCATCATCATCATCATCATCATCGCCGCATCATCATCCGCCGCCATCATCACCACCGTCATCATCATCGTCGTCATCATCATCATCATCATCATCGTCGTCGTCATCATCATCATTGTCATCATCATCATCATCATTGTCATCATCATCATCATCATCATCATCATCATCATCATCATCATCATCATCACCATCTATTACTGTCACTATTACTAATATTATTACTGCTATCAGTATTACTATTACTACTGTTACTGGTATTACCTCCTGCTTGGAGCGGGAAAAGTCCTCTATCTGCTGCTGAAGGTCCTGTATTTCAAGCTCCATCCGTTTCTTGGCCTTCACTGCGGCCTGAGATGAAAACTGGGCATCATCCAGCTGAAACACAGAAACAGATAACAATACTCCCTCCTTCACAATGGATGGACTCTCAGCTCAATGCAGAATGGAAGGTTGTGGTCACTGACCCTGGTCCGTGGCAATCCTATGCAATGCTATTATCACCAAAACATAGGACACTGATTCTTACAAGAGTCACTTTCACTTCACCTGATCAGTTTTCATTCCAATATTTCCCAAGGCTTAAAAGAATTGAAATTGTGTTGTAGTATCTGAATTACTACCGAAGGCCTGATCTCCAATGATATGAAGGGGACCCACACTGAAACTCTGGGTGTATATGGGCCTCAGCAATGACCAGTTGACCAATGACCAGTTGTTCCGAGATACTGATGCCAAGAACCCACACTGAAGGTCAGTGGGTCTTTCCACACATTAATGACCCAGAAGCCAAATCAACACATGATTCAGAGAATGCTGTCAAAACCAAGCTGTCCTCACCTCAGGGCTCCAGATAACTTTTGGGTGTGTGAGTGTACTTACACATCATACTGCAAGTGGAGGTTTTGAGGCGTACATTACACGCCTGTACGCCCCTTATCTGTAGCCCTGCTCACCTGGTTCTTGAGCTGGTTAATCTGTGACTTGGCTCCTTCTACAGTCTTCTGTTTCTGGAGTGTGTTGCCAGCATCCTTCAACAACGCCTTGGTCTTCTTCAGCGTCCTCCTCAGACGCTTCTCGGTATCTGGAACAGTTCCACGAGTCTCAATAAACGATGTGTCATGTTTCACATACCATCTCACACATGTTCTCAGGTAGTGGCATTACTGGCTACTTGTATTAGTCCAGATTAAAGCTGGTTTTATAGTTCCACCCTAGAGGGATACCACACTGCAGTTTATGATGAATACATCACTCACAGCACACTGATTTCAAGTGAGTGAGTGAGTTTAGTTTTACGCCGCTTTTAGCAATATTTCAGCAATATCATGGCAGGTGACACCAGAAATGGTATTCACACATTGTACCCATGTGAGAAATCGCACCCGGGTCTTCGGCGTGACAGGCAAATGCTTTAACCACTAGGCTACCCCACCTCCCCATAGACTGCCTTACCCCACTAGTAACACACAATCATGGGAAGGTAAGACTTAATTACAGCAAACTACCTATAAAGCCAAGCTTATAACAAACTAATGGATATAACAAACGGATATCACAAACTCACTGCTATAACAAACTAATGGATATAACAAAACTAACGGATACAACAAACTAACAGATATAACAAACTAACAGATATAACAAACTAACGGATATAACAAACTAACAGATATAACAAACTGCATTTATTGGTCCTGGCTACTTGCTGTATATTGTTGTTAAATGTGTATAAAAAACACCATTACAACAAAATAAGTGGGCCCTGTGAGTCCATTTTAACCCTAGTTTACTGTAATACTGAAATATATTTGCCATCTTGACCAATGTCCCAGTGATATGTTTCACATCCCTCAGCCTTCAACCTACCCTTATCCCTGGCCGGGGCACGTGCTCCCATGTCCTGCATCTGTCTCTCCAGGTTGTTCTTCTCCTCCATAATTCTCCTCTTCTCCTCGTATTCTTCTTCCACCTGGGACTCCATCTGCCGCAACTGTAAAAACACAAAATTGGTTACGTTCTGTACATCACTATCACTGCCGAGCAGTTTTGTCTTGCCATAACTTGATCATGTTTATTTGGATTTTACTTTTTGACAGCAAAGACCAACAGTGACTGATTAGACAGACACCTGCAAAAACACATAGCACTTCTACCTAATGTACGAAAAGTCAATACCTTAAAACACTTAACCGATGAATTTTGAAGCATTATTAACAATGATAACAATTCTTAAAATACTACCTCTAACACTTGATTAGATACAACCTTTTTGCTCTGAAACTTATTTCTGATCAATAGGTTTATAGAACAAAAAAATTAAAATCCATTGAGTTGTGTTTCTTCCTAGTGGTCTTCCCAAGCCGCTATCCGAAGGAGTTGTCTCCCATGACAAGCAGGGGAACTTCATAATGTTTCTAGTGATGCACATGATCACATGTTAATATTCAGACATTGCCTCCCCCCAGTTTATTCTTTGCCATTACCTTCTTCTGGGTCTTGAATCTCATCTCCTCCATCTCCTCATCTTTCTCCTCCAATTCCTTCAGGTGTTGCTGACGTTGACGCTCCAGGTTCATCTCCAGCCTCAGTTTACCCTGGAAATATGGAGAAACACAATTCATGAAGTACTGCATCAAAATGACAAGAATGCCAACTTCAGATACGTTAGTGCTAACGTGAATCCAGTATGTTTCATTACAGCTAAACTTCTATATTTTTCACTAACTGTATCCAACTGTTGCAGAAGCTCTAAATATCAGCCTCAGCCTCAGATTCAGCCTCAGCCAGCATGGGTCATCCTCTATCCCACCCCTACCTCTTTCACCCTCTCCTATCCCAACCACAGCCTGGTGGACCTCCCAACCTGCCCCAGCTCCCAGTACCCACCTGCCCCTGCCCCAGCTCCCAGTACCCACCTGCCCCAGCTCCCAGTACCCACCTGCCCCTGCCCCAGCTCCCAGTACCCACCTGCCCCAGTTCCCAATACCCACCTGCCCCAGCTCCCAGTACCCACCTGTTCCAGCCCCAGAACCCACCTGCCCCAGCTACCCACCTGCCCCAGTACCCACCTGTTCCAGCTCCCAGTACCCACCTGCCCCTAGCTCCCTGTCTATGCCCCACCTGTTCCAGCTCCTGTTCAGTACCCACCTGTTCCCAGCTCCAAGTACCCACCTGCCCCCAGCTCCCCTGTTCCAGCTCCCCACCTGCCCCAGCTCCCAGTACCAACCTGCTCCAGCCCAAGTACCCACCTGTTCCAGTTCTCTGTACTCCAGCTCCCAGTACCCACCTGTTCTGTTCCCAGTACCTGCTCCTGCAGCTCCCAGTACCCACCTGCCCCAGCTCCCAGTACCACCTGTCCAGCTCTAGTACCCACCTGTTCCAGCTCCCAGTACCCTGCCCCAGCCCCTGTTCCAGCTCCCCAGTACCCACCTGCCCCAGCCCACCTGTTCCAGCTCCCCAGTACCCACCTGTTCCAGCTCCCAGTACCCACCTGCCCCAGCTCCCCTCCCAGTACCCACCTGCCCCAGCTCCCCAGTGCCCAGCTCCCAGTACCCACCCAGCTCCCAGTACCCACCTGCTCCCCCCTGTTCCAGCTCCCAGTACCCAGTACCCCCAGTACCCACTGTTCCAGCTCCCAGTACCCACCTGCTGCTCCCAGCTCCCAGCCCTGCCCACCTGCCCCCAGCTCCCAGTACCCCCACCTGCCCCCTGCTCCCAGTACCCACCTGCCCCAGCTCCCAGTACCCACCTGCCCCAGCTCCCAGTACCCACCTGCCTGTACCCCTGCTCCCAGTACCCACTGCCCCAGCTCCCCCCCACCTGCTCCCAGTACCCACCTGTTCCCCAGTACTCCTGTTCCAGTACCCACCCCACCTGCCCCAGTACCCACCTGTTCCAGTAATACCCACCTCCAGCCCCAGCCACCTCCTCCCAGCTCCCAGTACCCAGCCCACTGTTCTGCCCCAGCTCCCACCTGCCCACCTGCCCCAGCTCCCAGTACCCACCTGCCCAGTACCCACAGCCCCCAGTACCAACCTGTTCCAGCTCCCAGTACCAACCTACCCACCTGCCCCAGCTCCCAGTACCCACCTGCCCCAGCTACCAACCTGCCCCAGCTCCCAGTACCCACCTGCCCCAGCTCCCAGCTGCCCCAGCTCCCAACCAACCTGTTCCCAGCTCCCAGTACCCACCTGCCCCAGTACCCACCTGCCTAGCCCCACCTGCTCTATACCACCTCCCCAGTACCCACCTGTTCCAGCTCCTCCAGTACCCACCTGTTCCAGCTCCCAGTACCCCCCAGTACTGCCCCAGCTCCCAGTACCCACCTGTTCCAGCTGCTGAATCTGCCCGGCCTGATCGTCCAACTCTTCCTCCTGTTCCCGCAGTTTGGACTCCAGAGTGTGCTTCGCCCGCTTCAGCACCACAACCTGCAGGAGAACAGTAACTGTCTATATACATCACTCTATACAACACACTTTCAGCATTATAAGATTAATCTAGAAGTCTAGTTAAAACTTTATTTTTCTAGTCCTCAGAGTTTGTAGATAGTCTTTCTGGAAAAGGGCATAAACGTTTACTGTTATATTCAGTTCCAATTTCTAGTAATTGTTTCCATTTTGTTTGCAAAGAAACATCACTGCTGCATTATAATGACTATAGAGAAAGTTATTAACCATCAATTGCATCAATTGTGTCACACTTCCATGGGTAAATATAACTCACTTTAAAAAGTGATTTAAAAGCGCTGCAGCAGTCAAAATTCACTATTTTTCTCAAAGATTTTAAAATATCCATTCCTTTTCATTTCCAATTTGTTTTATTCCCATTTCATTCAAGGTTCTAAATTTATGATTAACCAGACTGTTACCCTCCCACACCTGCCAAGGGGAGGTAAATGCTTAAAGCACATGCTCAGGTTCCCAAGTCATAAAACTGTCTAAAACAATGGTAGGTCAGTTTAACAATTTCATGACAAAGCTAAAGCAATTACCATAGCAATGAAAATCTGTAACTAAAGAATAGACTTAAGAACTATTTTATCTGTAACCAAAGAATAGAATTATACTTGAAGAACTGTTTCCTCTTTTGGTAATTAAAGAATTCCACTCTTGTGAATAATAATCTGTAACCCTTTTTTAGAATCATGTCAAACTGCCAGATGAACACCTATTACATGTGATATTCATACTATGCCAAGGCTGTACCTAGAAAGTAAGTTCTTGACTACACCAGTTGGGTAATTGAAACTTTAACTGTTTAATCAACCCTGTCAACTAAAACAATACCTCATTGTTATCCTTCCCCGAAGACAGGAGATCGCTGAGTTCTTTCTCAAGCCTCTCGTTCTTCTCCACCTGAGATTCGTAGTCCATCTTGTAGCGCTGTGAAATAGACACTCGTACATTTCAGTACATGTCACAACACATCCAGCTGTGACAGGAGTCCAGCTGTCATGACACTGATCTTCATTACAGTAAGACAAGGGACCACATTGTAAGGTGAAACATATCATCAGGTTCACCCTTGAACTTGATACCCATGGCAGAACTGATTTCACTTGAGAGCAGGTTTGAAATTCAGTAGTTTGCAGGAGAATATTAACCAGTAGCTAGAAGCACTGTCATGTTAGAGTTATTCTCCTGGAGTGAGTGAGTGAGTGAGTGAGTGAGTGAGTGAGTGAGTGAGTGAGTGAGTGAGTGAGTGAGTGAGTGAGTGAGTGAGTGAGTGAGTGAGTGAGTGAGTGAGTGAGTGAGTGAGTGAGTGAGTGAGTGAGTGAGTGAGTGAGTGAGTGAGTGAGTGAGTGAGTTGGCGTGATGAGTGGATGCTTTAACCACCAGAATGTCCGACTATTGAAGGGTCAGCTAAATGTTGAGGGTGTCAAACAAACACCAATATACATCAGTAGGTCTGAGCATTTTCACAATGTGATTAACTGACAATAACTATTAAAAACAATTAAAAAAGAAGAAAAAAAACAGGTAAAAGAAAACACTACCAAAAACAAAGACAAAACCTGCCTACATGACAAGTAACAGTCAAATGATTAATTCCAGTTACAATTGAACTGCCGTCCTGAAGGTTGAAAATTCAATGTTTTATCTCTCATTATCTGCATGACCCCCTCAATAATGGCACTGAGTAAACATATTTTCATTATAATGGCTTGGAGATAAGATCTGAACCAGACCTAATTGTCTTGCTGATGGCTGACTGAATGTTCAGCCGAGCCTGACTGACTGGCCTGCTAGTTTTACAAAGCACAGTCACATGAGAGGGAGTATTGGGGAATCCAATCACCTGGTTTCCAATACAGATAATCAGATCTAGATTTCAAACACGAGAATGGAGGATTCATGAAGACTTTCAGGAAACCCTCGCTACTGTGCCCATCACAGATTATTAAGTGATCTGAAGGCATTTTGGTTTTATCACTAACACTGCTCGCTCAAACGCACTCAGTGCATACTAGACGTATCGCCTGAACACACCTGGAGATGCGCAAATGCACGTGAAAAACAAACAGGTTTTGATTATATAAGATGGTGGTCAGCGATACACGGGCATTTTCCTTTCTGCCATTCGATTGCTCTGTTACAAGTTCAAGTTCGTTTTCCATTTAGAACGAATCAAGCCTTGTACACTTAAATAATGATTCAATGGCTAAACAAGGCTAAATTGTTGAACTTGTATATTGTTTAAAGTTTGTAATTAGCGGTTTTTTTGTTTATTTAGAATCACTACACACTCAGCAATATTCCAGCTATATGGCGGCGGTCTGTAAATATTCGAAACTGAACCAGACAATCCAGTGATCAAAAGTATGAGCATTGATCTACACAATCGATATATATGATGACATGTGTCAACCAAGTCAGTGAGCCTGACCGCCTGATTCTGTTAGTTGCATCTTACCACAAGCATGGGTTGCTGAAGATCAATTCTAACCCCGATCTTCACGGGTCCATAAACTTTGTAAAACATGAACAATTCATCAACATACTTGGTTTAAAGAAAAAGGTTTGATTAATGTATAATGAAAAGATATTGAAACTCGAGATGTAGTTGTAGGAGCTGACCTGCACATCTTGTTCCAGAGTGTACTTCTCAGACATCAGACTGTCTCTCTCCTTCTGAAGCTTCTCTCGTAACACATGTTCATCTCGCACATCCTCCTGCGCCATGTTCAACTCTGTATCAAACCTACAATGACAGTCAGATACACATTATATATAACACCATGGTTCCATTGAAACATACCAGTCTGTGGCAAAATATTTTGAGTTTACGAAAATAACTTCGGATATTACTAGCTGAGCTTATATACTACCTATCAAAAGTTTAGACTCGCCAGTGTAAATGTAGCCACTTACTTCAGTCAACTGTTCTAAACTAAATTTTGCAAAATATTTCACACTGTTAAAGGTATTGTTTACATATGAACTAATGTACTGTAAAACAAATTCATAATGTTGAAAAGATTATTGTCATGAGTTCAATAAATGATGAAACTCAGTGAAAATTGGCGAATTCTTCACAAAATTTGGCTAATTCTACACCAAAACGCAGCTGTTCACATGAATGATATTTGCACATTCCTTCAGCAATTTGATTTATGATCCTGGTGTAATTCTTCTGCATAAGGTTTGCAGTTAGTTCCCTAAGTTAGTGGAGAAATTCATCTTCAATGTAACCATATATATATACATAAGATATAGTGAGTGTTTTAAGTGAGTCTAAACTAGATAGAACAGTGAGTGAATATGGTTTGACGCTGCTTTTAGCAATATACCAGCAGTATGATGGACGCCTACCTGCGTTGTTTCCGCTCCAGCTCGTTGTTGCGCGTCATCTGTTCCTCAAGGTGCAGCTTGGTGTCCTGCATCTCCTGTGTGATGCGCTGCACCTTCTTCTTGGTCAGCTGCACCAGGCGGCGCTGTTCCTCCTGCCTCCTCTACAGCATCGTGCAACTACATCAACACACAAAGCAATGATAAAGTCATAGCATACGTAACATAACAGGAAATATTGAAAATCACAAGGGCAATCAGACCACAATAAGTATTGATCATATAGAACTTAGAACATAACCAATAAGGTACAAGGAATCATGGGGACTTACATTACTTTTGCTACCGATTGTCATTCCTGAGTATCAATCCTGTTAATCCCTGGTATACTTATATTGATCATATAGAACTTAGGTAATTTGTTAATGGATATATAGCACAAGAGACACATAATCCTTAATTCCAAGGATGCAAAAGACATTTCAAGTCGACCACCAGCGCATCTTACCACAACAAACTGTCTGTTATACAGGTATATTTGACCAGGTACAATTAATAGCATCAGCAACGAGGTATGAGGATTAAATGACAATCACCCCAAAGTAAATGAGACGAGTATTTCCTGTGCCTTTGTTGACAAGCAATTTCCTGGGCCTTTGTTGATAAGCAAACAGCATTTCTTCACAAGGTAAGATCATCCTTAGTTCAAAGGACTCAAAAGCAATGTCTGAAGACAGTGCAACTTACCCTCTTCTCGAGGAGTCGCCGTGACTGCAGCTCCTGCTCCATCTCCTCCTCGTGCTGCTGGTGCAGCCTCTTCTTGGTCATCACCAGCTCCTTGGACAGCCGCTCGTAGCGCTCCTTGTAGATGGAATCTGGAACAACAGTTGTAGCAATGCACAACACCTTCACAGGCAATCCTAGCCCTTACTGTTACAGCTAGGCCTCAATGAGTGAGTGAGTGTAGTTTTACACCGCACTCAGCAATATTCCAGTTATATGGCGGCGGTCTGTAAGTAATCGAGTCTGGATCAGACAATCCCGTGATCAACAGCATGAGCATCGATCTGCGCAATTGGGAACGGATGACAAGTGTCAACCAAGCCAGTGAGCCTGACCACCCGGTCCCGTTAGTCGCCTGTTACAAGCATGGGTTACTGAAGGTTCAGCTTTCAAAACCCAAGTCTACATGTTTAATCAAAGTCATATACTTCTCAGAGATTAAACATTTAGTCAACCTCACATGCTACATTAAACATGTACAGGTGTAGGGAGGTCAAAACCGATATCATGTAGGAATTCAACAGTTAACAATGAACTTCCCCATGATCCTCCTCATTCCACCAGGCAAGGGACACAACTCTGTACAAGTAGTTGTACTGTTGACTTCTGGGGCTAAACTGAGCCCTCCTTTATCAACGAGTCATTGTAAACACATGGCCCCTGGTATATATACCAAACATTTCTGTTCAAATTCACCTCACTATATTTATGATAGTTACACTCAAGACTCATTCAAGACCTCAATGTGAATGACACTTTTCACTTTTTTTGTTTTGGTCACATGAGAACCTTTTTGGATATTGATCTCAAGATCGAACTGTAACAAAATACAGATGGTGATGACCTCCTACTTCAGACTGCACTATAACCTTGCACTACCTCACGTGTGACATCACAGATTTAGGGGAGGGAACTCACTGTTGTCCATCTGTATTTGAACACCAAACATTTCTCTTCACCTCCTACCTATGAGAACTGCACTATAAGACTTTCACTACCTCACATGAATGACACATTCAGGGGAGGGAACTCTTACCATCTGTATTTTGTTACAGATGGTGATGACCTCCTACTTCAGACTGCACTATAACCTTGCACTACCTCACGTGTGACACATTCAGGGGAGGGAACTCTTACCATCTGCATCGTCATCCAGCTCCCCCTCCAATGTCTGAGCCTGCCAGATTCGGGACTGCATGACTTCCTGCTCAAGTCTCTCATTCTGCCTCTTGATAGTATTGTACTTGGACTGTGGAAGTACAAAGCACAATCCTGAATATGTGTAGATCCAATGACAAACTCTAAAATGTACACTAGTCTGCTTGACCGAGGCTCATAAGTTTTGCTGAGGACAAGTAAAAATCAAAGGGTCGTCATTGACTAATAGCTCTCAAGGCTCTAATTCTGAACCAGTTCTCCACGCTCCACTTCTAAAAACTGGAACAGATTACAGTTTATAGAACATAGAACACAGTTTTGTCTTATTCATGCAGGCCTACTTACAAACTTGGTTTACACTAGTGATCACTGCTAGTCTTAAAAACAGCAAAGAATTTCTGAGATTGTGTTGCAACTGTGTAGGTCTGTATTTCCAGTACCAGCATTTTTAATAACAAAATATAACATGTACTAAAAACTTACACTCTCACAATTTACTCAAACTAGAAACACTCTGACATGATTTTAATTTTTTAATATTCCGACTACATGTCATACCATCTACTTTTATTTTAGATATCATCTGTTCTTGTCATGATACTGTTTCATATATCTATGTATATTGGAACGGTCTTCATATAAGTTCTTTCGAGCTTGTTGACCAATCCAGTTCATGAAAATTCTGTCTTTGCTTTTCATGAAATAAATATGTTTAAACCAAACACTCAGAAAAACAGTACCAGTTCACAGACCTAAACCACATACTCATTCACTAGCCTTTCACTACACCTGTATTATCACCAGGATGGTTTGCCCGGGGCTCACCTGCACTCACTCATTAGCCTTTCACTACACCTGTATTATCACCAGGATGGTTTGCCCGGGACTCACCTGCACTCACTCACTAGCCTTTCACTACACCTGTATTATCACCAGGATGGTTTGCCCGGGGCTCACCTGCACTCACTCATTAGCCTTTCACTACACCTGTATTATCACAAGGATGGTTTGCCCGGGACTCACCTGCACTCACTCACCTAGCCTTTCACTCACCTACACCTTGCCCGGGCTCACCTGCACTCACTCATTAGCCTTTCACTACACCTGTATTATCACCAGGATGGTTTGCCCGGGGCTCACCTGCACTCACTCATTAGCCTTTCACTACACCTGTATTATCACCAGGATGGTTTGCCCGGGACTCACCTGCACTCACTCATTAGCCTTTCACTACACCTGTATTATCACCAGGATGGTTTGCCCGGGGCTCACCTGCACTCACTCATTAGCCTTTCACTACACCTGTATTATCACAAGGATGGTTTGCCCGGGGTTCACCTGCAGGTCCTTGAGGTCCTTCTCCAGCCTCATCCTGTCAGCTGTCTCCGCCTCCAGCAGCTCGGTGGCATTGTTTGAGGTCGTGTTCTCCTCCACGAGGTCGGCCGTCATCTCTGACAACTACACACACAAAACAGGTATAAGACCCAGAGTTTATTTAAAAATCTATATGACTCACAACTTCATACGAACACAATCTGACAGATAGCAAAATATAAGCAATAAGACAAGAAAATGGCACAATTATAGGACAGGAAATTCACAGATATTGCATAGAGTGAGCAAAAGATAAAATCATGAAATGTTGCTCGATATACACTGTAAAACCCATTTCTGATTGACAACCATGCCCATCATGATGTCAAGAACATGTGACACAAATCCTTACAGTGTATTTTCATATGTAACAAAGTAACTGTAAATATTACAGTCGAGCACCATTGTGTTGAACTCTGATAACTCGATATCTCGGTTGTCTCGATATAACATCTCAGTCCCGGCAAAATCTTTCATAATTTATTATTATTCAAGCTCTTTTAACTCGATATGGATGTCTCGATATTTCGGATATCTCGATATAATTTCATGGTCCCAACAGGCAAAATTACACTTTTAACTCGATATTTGCAAAGAAACTCGATATTCACCTCCCTTTCATGGGCAAGTATCCCTCTGAACTGAGGTTCTTTCCACACGTTTACACAGGGAGCGGCATGAATCAAAGGGATGCGGTAGTGTCAACTAATTAGGGCTAAATGAGTTGACAGTGTCAGTTGTTTATTTAATTAGGATTAATTAAGAAGGAATTAATTAGGGAGTACTCACTGTCACGACTAAACACTACTGATAACGGATTATAGTTTTGAATCAAAACATACTGAGAAGGGTTTTGTTTTCTTTCATAGTGACATGTGATGATATGCCCTGGTCGGATGTCTCGAAGTTCGGATAACTCGATATTTTTTCTTGGTCCCATGAATATCGAGACAACGGTGCCCAACTGTACTTTACATTCATGAAAAGGCAATGAGAATATTATCTCCAAGAAAATTCTTTGAACATATGAAACTGCTGACATAACAAAGAGCACACTGCTCTAAAAAGTGAGTAGAGAATGACCACATATATATATTGTTTAAAGACTACACAACCACATACCCTGTTTTCCAGTTTGTCACACTGCAGCTTGTAGTCCGCCCGGTCCTTCTCAACTTTCTCCAGCTTAGTCTTCATCTGTTCTAGTTCCGCCTGAAGCAAAAAGTATCACTGGTGTCAGCTTTTATTTCCTGTTTCTAATTTTACACCAGTCAGCAGTATTCAGACTATATCATGTCCGTCTACAAACAACTGAGTCCTGGACACACAAACCAGTTTTTGTTATCAGAAGCAGCATCCGAGGTACAATGACATGCATTTAACAAGTGATCTGATCCTTTTACCCGACTCTTATGACATCCATAGGGTCTAATGCTACCCTGAAATGCTTAATCGTGGCAAGTAATAGTGGTGTAACAATAAAACAATATCGTATTGTATCTCAATACAAGGCACTCAATACGATACATCGACTTACAACTCCTGTATCTCAACACATACAAAACATTCCATCACAGGTTAGATATAAAACATGTGAAAAATAACAGAAACTGTCCATATGAACCAGTTATGTAGATATGCAGATGCATTTCCTGGTTGGCTATAAATAGCAGAATCTTCATATTGCACTTATATGTTTCTCCTCTACAATATCGCATGTCTGAGGTCTAAAAACAAATTAATGCAGAAACGTAGAGAATATGAACTTATGAAATAACAGGGCCCGTTTCACAAAGCCATTGAAAGTCTATGTTACAGTATAGGAGTTCTGACAGTTGTAGGACATCGATACCTTCCTGATAACGGGCTCAGTACCGTTTCATGATATGAATCGTGCAATGTGTTCTCACAAACAGCAAGGTGACACAATTTATAACAAGCTGACCATCTTGCTGCCCCCGACTGCACAGGGAACTCTGGGTAGGAGAGGGTAAGGATTACCTCAGCGTTCCTGAGTTCCTCTTCTGTGCGGTGGACGTTGAGGAGGGGCTGGACCTTGGTGTAGAGTCGCCACCACTCCCAGTCTCGGATGAACATGTACTTCCTCACATTCTTCTGGATGCAGTTGACAGCCAGATGCTGGACCTGGGACAGGAAACATGATGCTCAGTACATTCACACATCCTGGGAGTGAGTGAGTTTAGTTTTACACCGCACTCAGCAACATTCCAGCTATATGGCAGCGGTCTGTAAATAATCGAGTCTGGACGAGACATCAGACAATCCAGTGATCAACTGTATGAGCATCGATCTACGCAATTGGGAACCGATGACACATGTCAACCAAGTCAGGAGCCTAACCACCCGAACCCGTTAGTCGGCTCTTATGACATGCATGGGTTACTGAAGATCAATTCTAACCCCGATCTTCATGGGTCATACCCATAGAGAGATGTGTGAAATTTATATATCAAAGGAGAGGAATAGATATTTGGTAACATGAATCATACAGACATACCCTATGAAAAGGAATCATTTGAGACAGTGGAAGTCTCCTGTTTTTAAGTCCCACATACAATAACTTTGGTGAGTGCTGAGAGAAACTAGTGCGTGAGTGAGTGAGTTTAGTTTTACGCCGTGCTCAGCAATCTTCCAGCTATATGGCAGCGGTCTGTACATAATCAAACCTGGACCAGACAACCCAGTGATCAACAACATGAGCATCGATCTAAGCAACTGGGATAAATTGACATGTGTCAACCAAGTCAGCGAGCCTGACCACCCGATCCCATTAGTTGCCTCTTACGACCAAGTATGGGTTACTGAAGATCAATTTTAACCCGGATATTCACGAGTCCTGAAAGAAAGTAAACATTTGTTAAGGAGCGAATGGATAAGAATCGTCCACTGAACCTGTTTCTCATCCTGGATTTTATAAGGTTCATTAATCAATCAGATAGCTACAAAGTTATCCACAGATCAGTATACTATTCCCCTCATGATAAGAGCCATCAAACTGAATCAGATAAAAGATTTAAATTCTAGTCGTCAAACTGATTCACGGTATACTCATTTGAGTGTGGTCCAACACTGACTAACCAAAGCTCCTTACAGTGATAACTCATTTGCAATGCTCTCTACACTGCTGCTGTCACCAGTGACTCCACACTGAACTAAGTGGCCTGCAACCATGATACACAAAACCAACTGAATTGAATGTCTACAAAAAATTGATGACTATCGTGATGCTGAATATCTTCACTCAACTGAATCGTTTTGTTTTGGCAATTTGAAGTTTTATTTTCTTTCTACCATGTAAGTATGTAATTAGTATAATTATATGTAAGGGAAAGTCTGATGATGTTCCTTTCCGGTCGTGTCTCAAATCTGGAAACATAAGTCACCACATTTGGGCTTAGAAGGCAAATTTCCAGATTCTACGCTGGTGGCAGCAACTGCTACGAGCATGACCTGGGAAGGAGTCTCAGACTCACCCTGAGTTTCTCAAGCTTCCTGCGACCGAGGAACCCTCTGCAGAAGGACTGGAAGGCTGTCACAGTGCCAGTAATCTTCTCATCTCTCGTTACCTCCAACTGTGCTAGCGCCCCCGGACGAAAAAATACCTGCAAGTACAAGAAACTGATTAAAGAACCTGTACAACAATGACTGCGCACACATAGATCACAGAGAAATGCAAATGATTGAATCTGGACTAGACAAACCAATGGTCGATAACATGAACACCAAACCATGTAGCAGGTCACAATGACCCTCAAAATACCAATGCCAGTGGTCTCATTAATATTTTGATTCTCTGTAGCCTCCTGAAGCAACTGGCTACCACTCGTGTCTTGGGTGCAAGCCATTTCAGAATGGCCACCCACAGAACAATAAAGACGAAATGGTAAAATGATAAGATTAATTCAGCATAACATGTATATACAAAATGGCTATTCCACAGTTAATTGCACAGTCTACACACAGAGACAGGTGGGCAACTTGATAACACATAAACTTGATAACACATAAACACTAGAGACAGTCTTGGTATTTATCTGCTATCTGCTTATAATCTTGTAAATATCCTCACAATTGTGATACTTGAACCGGTGTTTATTACCAACACACCCTGCATGAAATTGACAAATTTAATGCCTTTTCACACTGTAACTACGATAAATTCTTCACCTTTTGGTCATCTTGCCATAAATTCTTCACATAAATTACAACAAAAATATGTTCTTCTGGCCTTGTATCACCCTACGGATTATCTACCACCCATGTCCACATATTTACATGTACCACAAACGCAACAATTATGTACCAGTCATGAAGAAATAAAGTGCATTTCCACCTCGAGATAAATAAGAGCAACATCCAGCTTTGACACCGACACTTATGTGACTAGCAGACACATTTCCCCGATATAGCCTAGGAATCTGTTATATCCTGCTAAAACTTTTTTTACAACCGAAAATTCCCCTAAAATCATTCTTACAATTTCCAGCATTTGCTAATTCGGTAACCTAGCAACTGTGGACATATTTCTTTCAACATCGGATGAATTACGAAATTCCTCAAAATCGCTCACTCAGCATAAAACAAAACTAATATGCATACAAGGAATTCAATATTAGCAACAGCTGTTTAATGGTTTGCTGGAATTCTGCTACATGCGTATAATAAAATAATGATATTTTCAAGAATGTCTTGCATATATTACAATATTCACACTTAATTAATCTCCACAATATATGATCCTAGGCATATTTGCATTAAAATACTAAATTCAATAATTTAACATTTTGTGTTGCACAAAATATTTCTTTACAGATTAAACATAGATTACTCTTTATTGGATTTAATCTGATAAAATATTATATAATGGGATAATCCACATACCAATCAGGAAACTCAAATCCCAAGTCATAATACAAGATTAAACCCTCATGCAGTCCTTCAAGCATAATCGAACATGCATTTAGTGCATTTACCAGCTTCCTCAGTGACGTATATCACTTGTGATGGCGGAGTGAGTGAGTAAATCTGTGGGTGTGGTAACACTTCAGTGATATTAGAGCGTGTCAGAATAACGTGAAAACAAAGCTCAAATGTTTTATTTTAGTTAAAACCTATGAGCACAGGAACGCTCTGTCATCAAGGATCATAATCAGGGGAAATCTCAGATTAGAACCTTAGATCCTGATGCTGCTAAGGGAGGTAAATCTGTACAAGTTGTGGCATCTTAGATCACTAGGCCATTACGATTAGGGATAATCTCAGATTCACACCAGCAACCAGCAGATCCTGGCACAAGTAAGGGAGACAAAACTGCTGAGCATGTGGCACCTTAGGCCACTTGGTCATCGAGATTAGGGTTAATCTCAGATTCATGCCAACAACCAACAGATCCTGGCACAGGTAAGGGAAGTAACTACAGCAAGTAGTGGCATCTTAGACCACTGGGATAGCTGTATCAAATCTAATCACCTATTCATAAGACAACCACGGATCATGGCACAGATATGGAGGCAAATCTTCACAGCAACTTAACACCCCCTTGTGATGATAAAACAAGTGGTAGCAATGAAGTTAAGTCCCAGATAGCATTCGGACGTTGGCCCAACGTTGGCAATGTTGGCAAAACCATTGCAAACATTGGGCCAACATCTGAATGCTATCTGGGGTAGGCTAAATTTGAACAAAAATTAAAATTAAAAATAAAAGCATGATTGAAATGTCTCCATCCAGGCTTGGGCGCTGACGCCTGTTTGAGCTCAGCTAATGTGTAACACATGTGAGGTGGTATTTGAAGCAAACAACATGAACACATCAACGTGGGGGAGGAAGTGCTGTGTAACAGGTCTGCCATGTGTACAGGGATCAATACTTCTCCATCAGCCAGCTGTAACTGAACAAGTTACAGTAAAACTGGCACCAAGTCAATCAAACAAAAATTACAACAAGCAATCAAAACCTGAACATTTGACGCCAATCAGATCCTAAATGGACTAGCATAATTTGTATTAAGTATTTTTTGTATATTTTTGTTTAATGGTTTTGTACCCATAACTACACACTAAAGGCCTCGCTGGTGCTGAGCCAGGAGTCCCGCCATTATTAGTCAACCTATTACGGATAATGAGGATGCTGTAATCTCCCAGGAAGTGACAAGTGTTTTAACAGTTGCGTGAGATGATGTACGTGGCTGCTCTGAAAGTTCCTACTCTCAACATATAGACTTCAATATTTGTCATCCAACATGCATGAGTTTATTGTTAACACCACACTCAGCAATACTCAACAATGATATTGTTCTGTAAATAATCGAGTCTGGACCAGACAATCCAGTGATCAACAACATTAACATAGATCTATGCAGTTGGGATACAATGAAATGAATAACCAAAGTCAGCTAGCCTTACCACCCAATCCCGTTAGTTGCCTCTTTCAATAAGCATAGTTTCCTGAAGACCAATTCTAACCTGGACCTTCAGAAGTATATGCCACACCAACCCCTTACACATCTTTCTCTCTCTGTCTTTCTCTCTGTCTCTCTATCACACATACACACTTACATACATATCGCCACACCAACCCAACCCCTCACGTTACATACAAACTCTCCACAATGTAACAGACAGTATTCTCCAAAAATAATACAAAAACATTCTTACCTTAAAACATGCACCCACAGACACACCTAATATTCCTTTCCATCAAGCCCTGCTAACACGTATCCTCGCACCTACACCCTGAAACTCTCCACTGAAACCAGGTGCTTGGTAATTCTACACTCAGGCTTATCATAAACCCTCCCCTAATCTTATTGCTAGAAATTTCTTAATTAATGGCTTTGAAAACAGTCCACAGGAGGTAAACAAACGAGCACATGTAACAGTAAACCAACAACAGCTGAGTAACAGAATGGCTGACTTGTGGGTGGAGTGGCCGATTTGTGGTTGGAGTGGCCAATTTGTGGGTGGAGTGGCCGATTTGTGGGTGGAGTGGCCGATTTGTGGTTGGAGCGGCCCCTCAGGTGAGTCAATATACGATAAAGACGATTTACAGCAAGTGAGGGGGATAGGTTTTGGGCCCCTATTAGCAACGTAAAGAAAACATTTACTCAGGCTGAGGTGGGTCTACACCACTTGGAAGCATATTTCAGTTGTGAAATATTGTGGCAGCTTAATGTGGGACAAAAACCAAATGTGTAGGAGATACATTCAAAATGACAAAGTGCAAAATGTTGATGTTCAAGTGACATCCTCATCCTGCTGTGAGCAAGAGTCAAATCCAACAAACCATTTTAGCACAGCAATGATCATAGGTCAAGCTTAGATAACAGGAAAAGCATAATACTTTATGGATAACAACATCTTTATTTATTTTTTTTCGACGTTTCGGTATAGCTTCTTACACCATTGTCAAACAAGAATGTTAATGAAAAGATAACAATGGTATAAGAAGCTATACTGAAACGTCACATCATAATAAATAAAGAAGTTGTTATCCCTAAAATATTATACTTTTCTTATTATTCATCAACTTCTAAATGCCAACCAAACAGATCATTAGATAATAGGAATTACAAATAAACAAGACCTATGATCGCTTAGCCAAACTAAACTTCCCATTCCACAAGCGATTTTAGGACTACAACTGTCCAAGATCCTATTCTTTAACATAGATCTTAAGGACTATGACAGACTTTTAAGACTCTGACGTGAATATAGTCATATCACTAAGATAACTTTGCAGAAGATGAACCAGGACCCCATTTATCAAGCATTTGTAGAATCACAACTCCTTTAAAATCAAATCAAATCAAATCAAATATTTATTGTGCAAACGTTCCATACAGAAACAGTGACAATATTCTATAAACTACATAAACAAGATATATAATGAATCACATATATATGATGAGCAACAAAACATATAATAATACAGATGTGTATAATAAAAATAATAATAATGGCCTAGGACAATCAGATCTTTATTTGTTTAAAGTTGTACATGTGGAAGCAAATAATTTCTATTCTATTAGGATTATTATTTCTAAAAAGGATGTTAAATTGTTCAGTGGTAGTAAGTCTGAGAAAGTTATTAATTCTAGAGGAAAGGGAGTTAAATAAGGACTTTCTTGCATCTGAATATTTAGTGCAACACATTAATTAACATTAAGTTATGATACTTGAGGCGCTAAGATAACTTAGCCAAATATACCCCAGGAACTAGATTTTCGAAGCTCTCTTAGCTCTAAGATAGTCGTAAGTGCCATACATTAACATTAATTTTCGACTATCTTAGCGCTAAGAGAGCTTCGAAAATCTAGGCCCTGGAGTCCATTCTACTAGCCAACTTTGGGCCATGACTGACACAACTCTGATTGTTTAATGTGAACTAATGTGATGGTCATAGTGCTAAAGTTACTCTGCAGAACAATACCATGGGTGGGTTCCACAGGCTATCTATGGCCTAACACTGTCTATCCCTTAGCATCAACTTAACAAGTAGAATGATGTAGCTGCCTCACAGTCCCTGAACCACATTACTTTCCCTTTCTGCAATGCTAAATTCCAAAAGAAGCAAGTCTAAATTTCCTTAGGTTCTGAATCTC